GGGTAGGGAGCCAAAAATGCTCCTGGGAGCCGGGCCAGGTTTGTGTCATTAAAAACAAAAAAATCCCAACAAATAACATACTTTCGGGTTTGAGCGCGAGATGTCCTTAATATTTCCAGTAATTCACGTTGGGACTGTAACTACTGTTCTGGCACTTTCCAAAAGCAAGAAGACAAGGACTCATTTCTTTCTATCACCAAGTTCCTTGCTGTAACGGGCGCGAGGAAGGAGAAAGAGCTTTGATTCCGTGCTGATCCCGATCCCCAGCAGACCATGTGCTGGGCTCCAGGGCCTGCAGACCCCCCGACCGCCCAGCACTAACAGTGCCGAGGGCTGCCTGTCTCTAGCTCAGTCCAGCAGACTCATTAGTCTTCAGTTATTCGTTACCCTCTTCTTCAGCAATGAACAAATGAGACTTTCAAACCCATGTGAGCTCACCCACCCCAGATTTCTCCAGGAGTAAGACGACAACACGTTCGCGTGACACAGGGGACAATACAACAAGTAATTCAACGTCTTTCCTACACTGTCCAGGAAATTCAGCTCATTTCGTTCGGGAAAGTGCTATTTCTCCAAACGAGAGAAGGGCACCCAAGGAAGAACAGGGCCTGTTTTCATACAGTTAGATCACAGCTCCGCAGCAGAAGCCTGATCTTTCCCAATTTTTCCCCACACACAATCATAACTTAAAAAAAAAAAAAAAAAAGGTATCCAAGTCAAACATGCCACAGAGCAATCTATATAGGATTTATTTATTTAGCTTAAGAGCCTTGCTTCAAAGAAAGACTTGAGAAAAACAACATGATATATCATGGCAGATACCCATGAAAACCCACATTTTAAAGTTGGATCAAAGGGATTGCCTGGAGAGGGACATAAGGAATTGTGCAGTTTAATCCAGCTACAGGATTTGGCCTGTTTAGAGAAAGTCAAGTCCTGTTGACTCAACCTGATGTCAGTGCTTATTTTCAAAATGTCTTGTTGGTAAAGGTTATTCAACTGCAGGATTAAATACAAAATTCGCTTGTGACACATGCAAAAATCTAACTTGGTACATCAGGTTTTCCTTATACAAAAGTTTGTATTTTTATACAGCTTCTCTTTTGGAAATCAACATCTTTGTCTTCAAAAGAGCCAATATAAAAGTTTTACGGGAAGAAACAAAAAGTGCATCATAACATGTAATTAAAACAATTAAAACTAAGAAGTCTGTTTACAGGAGTTCCCTTGAAGGGTAAGTAAATCTGGCAAGAAGAATGACATTAATTCACGACCATTTGTGAATTTAATTTGCTAGAAAAGAGTAAATAATTTTGGTACATCAAACTGCTATTTGGAAGTTTGCCTGGGCTGTATAGAGGGGGGGGGATGTGAGAAATTTGCCCTATTTTTACAGTTGAAAGCTTCATTGACTCACACAAGATACTTTAGCCTAATATCCTGTGGCATTGCAGTGACCTACATGTAATTATTGCATGCTTTTTCCAAAATATTTGTACACAACCAGAAATTATAACCTAAGTTACCAACCAGTTCTTAGTTTATACCAGCAACACAAAGATGGACTTCAATTAGCGGTAACCTAGCTGTCTGATGTTTTTAGCAATCTTCTGGACAAATGTTTGGTCTTGGTTTGGTGTAATTTTCTGGTTTCCATTTCTCTTAGACAAACATATTTATCCTGTTAAGTAAATGATGTTTTAAAAACTTTCAGCTGTCCCTTCTCCCACCCTGCAATCACTGTCCCCCTCAGACACGGGCTGATCTCACATGTGTAGGTGTGCATGTGCTTTATGAACAAAGATGAGGGGAAAAGAAGGGAGGGGGGGGAGGAATAATCAAATGGTCTTGCAATGCCCCATAGTGCCACCCAGAAAATGTCCTTCCTGCTCCTGCCTTTACCTGCCCTTCCCAGAAGACAGCTGGAATGCTTACAATGCTCACAGAGGTCTGCTGAAGTTTCTCCTGGCTCATGGTCAGGCTCTGTGGTGAGAGGCAGATGGGTAGTACTTAGAGGACAGAGAGGAACATGACAAAGGAGGAGACACTTGAGCATGCACTGATCAGGTAGCTCCTCTCCCATCAGTCTCCTTTTGCCCAAGCTCATGGACAACACTGCTCTCGATACAAGAACTTAAGAGCTTTTTGGCTGCTACCGCTTGAAGGGTCATACTTTCTCCAACACAAGACATCTGCAGAATGTGTTGCAGATACTCACCACACTAGTATCCGAAGTAGCTGGCAGCACAGCTGGTTGGTACTTTTTACCCAGGTAGACACCAGCTGGTTGACTACGTCATTAAAACTTCAGTGGTGCCAATTTTTAGAGAACCATGTGCCATTCGCTATCAGCAGGTTGACATCTAACATTTCTCACTGTAAAGCTTAGCTCAAAGCAGGCTGTTTCCACTCACAGAACTGTAATAAAGGATCATAGTGTTGAACTCCCAAGGAGCATATATCTGTTTAATTACAAGTCATTTCTTAACCTCTACCACCAGATGTGCTTGGTCACACAACTGTATTATTCCAGTCTCCACCACTGTGGAGGTAGCTCAGTGCAGGACAGCCTTTGAAACATAACCTTAAGGCTCACAATTATTTCTTTTCTAAGTCTTTTACTAATAAATTACCTGTCAGTTACTCAACCTGCCTATGTGCTAAAAAAAAAAAAAAAAAAAAAAAAAAATAAAAAAAAATTACGTGTTAGCAATCATCTCAGATTACTAAATTTGCAAAACGAATTCAAAGTTGGGGTTGGTTTTTCATAACTGAAGCCTTGTGTTTCCCTCCCTCCCATGGCTGGGTGGGGAACCCCACCTCCCTATTGGCTAAAAAAAAAAAAAAAAAAAAAAAAGTATCTACAAAATCTATTTAGGCTTTTTTTCTAAACCAGAGAAGATTATCCAGACTCAAATCTGCAATGATTTCAATAAGCCTAACATTCCAGTTTTACCTCCCAGATTGCTATACCGATCCTCCCATTAAATGACTATCCCATTTGCCTACACATGTTTTTAGTTTTGCGCTCGTACAGAAGACCCGTTATTTCTCACTGTTCTCTGTCTTCTGGGGAGCAGCTGCAGTATGTTCCTGCAGCCATCAGCTTTAAAAGCAGCATTCAGTGCCTGATTGGCAGCAGAGCTAGAGGTGGCATACTGCTTCCTGCTGTGGTGACATCAGTACCATTACCAAACAGATCTCAGAGTATGTATTAAAAAAAAAAATTATTCAGAATATGTATTAAAAAAAAGAATCTATTCCTGATATGTGCACTGTTTTGAGTAAGATAAAGAAAATGCTTCATCATCATGAGAAAACAAAAAAAAAATCTACTACAAAAATGTAAGAAAGGTTTATTAGAGCTGTTTTTCATTGCTTTACTTCTTTTACCTTTCTTTGTTGAGCCAAGAAAGAGCATGAAACAAGTACAGAACAGTGCATAAGCAATGTTGCAAACTGCTTGTTAAAAAAAGCAGTGGCAACTGCATGAAAAAAAAATAAGGAAAAGGATCAGAAGCATCTTAACAAGAAATCTGTGTCTCAAGCTCCAGCTACGTGAATAAAATTTTGCATTTGTGAAAAGACAACATCAATTTTTTCAGCTGCAAATATAATTCAAGGTTTTTGACCTGAAAGCTCATTTACTCACACTTCTATCCACACATGCACCCTTTTCCTGTAGGGAACAATATACTGGGAAAGGGTTCTACTTAAATAAAACTTGAACGGAGCTGGCACCTCTTTATGCCCAAGGCCTGGCAATATGACATGAGACTCTTCTCTGAAGAAGGGGACAGTCTGCATCTACAGAACAAGCCACTATTGTCCAACATGCTTTACTTCCTCATCTCATAACCTAAAAGGTTTTATCACTTTAATAGATTGTCCTTGATTAATAACTTCAGCAGCAAACATATCTACACAATATAAATATTTATTTCAATTTAGGTATTCAAAAGGGTTGTCAAAATTTACCATTTAAAAATTAGGTACAACAACTTTTTTTTTTTTTACATTACAAAGTAAAATTTAGGGAAAAAATATCTACTTTTATTATGGTCTTTATAGCCATCTTCTTACATACATTAAAAGATTGGTTAGTTTTATATTTATGTGCTGTTAACCCACTTGTTTCTAAATTCCATTGAAAACTGACGCACAGATCATTTAGGGTTTTTAAGGCTTTATAGATCGATCTTTAGGATGGCTTTGTTAATTTTAGTAAAATATAAAGCTAGCAGGCAAAGAATTGCTGAATCTGGAAAATATTTGGAAAAGTGTGTCTCTGCAAGGCAGCTATGCTGCTGTTGGCAAGTGCCAGGAGGCAGAACTGTCCCTTGCTTTGTCCCCTCAGAGTCAGATTAGCACTGCTTTGGTTAAACAGCCTCCCTGCTTAGCTGCTACCCAGGCCTCTGATGAGATCCTGCTAAATTTCTAACAGGATGACTCAATTTTTCTCCTAGGGCATTATTTGGTTATCTGTCTGTACATATAGTATGTACATATCTGTACATATAAGAAATGCAGTAAAACCAATGTAGTGAGGTGGGGGTCAGTCTCTTCTCCCAAGTAACAAGCAACAGGACAAGAGGAAAAGGCCTCAAGTTGCTCTAGGGGAGATTTAGATTGGATAGTAGGAAAAATTTCTTCACCAAAACAGTTACCAAACATCAGAACATCTGCCCAGGGAAGTGGTGGAATCACCATCCCTGGAGGTATTTAAAAGATGGGTAGACTTGGTGCTTACGGACATGGTTTAGTGGTGGTTTTGGCAATGATGATTGGACTCAATCTGAAAGGTCCCTTCCAACCTAGACAATCCTATTAAGATGCAGTGTGCCTTTCAAGAAAGCAGACAGCTGTTTATGGCAATGTAAAGCAATACAGAAGAAGACAGCGTACAGTAGGATCTACTGCTTGTAGCCGAACTGTCCACCCAAACCCTTTTATAAGTCAGAGCAAACGTAGGAGCTACCTACAAACTAATTGAGCAGCGATACAGAACATCATCATCTTTTGGGGTACTCAAGCCAATAGTCAGTAAGAGCAACCCATTTCTTCAGCCCCATGCAAATCAGCACAGTTTCAAAATAAAAGGTTTTGAGCCCAGCTTTAGTCTTTAAATGTGGTCAAGGACTGATACAAAACAACATGGTTGTTTCTCAGAGAGTGGAGCAGGACTGAGAAGAAAAACTGTTTGCAGTATCAGAGGTTATCGCTCTAGCCCATGTGAGAACTTGGTCTGTGCTATCTTCACTACCAAGAACCCAGAGCATCACTCAACCAACTTTCCATGGGACAATGCTCCCCTTAAGCCCATTACGAGGAGCTGGGCCTGGTTACATGCTCTAAGACCATTATTTTGCTTTTTAAGCAGCTTCACGAAAAACAGCAAATAAGCAGCACCATGTCCTTAAAGAAAAGGGCTGTTCACTGGCTTTGTGGCACCTAGAATACGCAGTATAACATGCACAGATCCTCCTCCAACTCTAAGCTAATTAACTTGACTTCTGAATTGGTAAGTCATTACCCTAGCATAACAAAATCCAAAAGATATTAGGCATAACTGCTATATTCACAATATGCATGTATCTGAAAGAGACTTGCTTCATTTTTACAAACCTTTTAAAAAAATGTCTGAAGCCTGTTTGAAGACAGCCTCTCGGGCAGTGCTGCCCTACTCATAGACAAAGCCTACAAGCACTTCTATTTATCTTGAAACTTTCTTTCTGCCTTCAAAATGAAATAGTCCACTGCTGGTTTGAACGCGAATGGGTGACCCAAAGCTACATCCCATACTCACATGCTTACTAGCAGGTTGACTCTGAGGTAAAGATCCAGGGGCTAGCACTGGAGAGCTTGCGGGGCTACAAAGTTCTGGGAAGGGATTTGGGATGGCCGGCAAAGACGATGTTCTGAATTGCTGTTCTTCTTCTTGAAGGCGCCTATAAACACAGAAGCACTAAGCATTAAGAGGAGCAAACTGGCACCACCAGACCTGGATGTCCTGCCCCACCATTTACGATAACGATACTAAAGAAGAGGAATCAAAACCACTCTTTTTCCAAGCAACCACTATAAAGTTACAGCAACTGAAAGCACAAAGTAGGTAAGTGCATGTGAAAATGACCAGTCAAGTCATTTATGCATGTTTTGTTGCACATAAAATAAACAGAAATATCCATCTGTTCTCGCTGTTGTTAGCACTAGGTTACAAGTTTAAGCTCTGTGTGCCAGAAAGTCAGTTAAGTTCTTCCAAACCGGTGTGAAAGAGAACACAACGGCAGTCTCTTGGAGCCAGATTCCACATGGATCTGCAAACAAAGGTGTACCCCGTAAAGCCTCTAAGCCGAGACTGCAACCAATATTGTCACCTCTTTACAATACCAAATTCCAGAAATGCAAAGACTCAGCTTGAGCAATAAACTGCAATTACAGCCTCCCACCTTATGCCAGTTGTAGTTACCGTTCAGACAAGTTTGCGTCTCCTGAGAATACACCTCACGAGCCTACACAGGACTAACAGAGTTTCAAGTTCCAGTTCATAATACACCTGTACTGCCCACACCAAAGAAGGAAAGCCAAAGCCTACCAGTTGCCACAGAAAAGCTTGAAAAGATGTAAGACCTATTCACGACCACACAGATTGCTTCAGCTTTCCCTACTGCCAGGGCATCACCATCGAAGGTAGTACAAGTGACTCTGCAGTAGGCTGGCCTGCAAAGCCTTTGCAGAAGGCACCATCTAGTGGCCATCATGGAGGTTTCCAAAGACAAGCACCTAGCTCCTGGATTGGAAATGTAAATCATTAAAAACTTCATTTGCTCTCATTTTTCGCTCTGCCTTCAGCAAGCAGCACCTTCTTAACAGAGCTGCCTGGGAGACAACTGCTGGGTTTGCCTCTGGCAGCGTGTCCCACCCGGGGCACACTCACTGTCTGTGCCCCAACCAGAACCCGGGGGCTGATAAAATAACTACTGGGAAATCTGCTCCGCAGGTAACTCTATCCTGCAATTTAGTTGCCATGAATGAGCCTTACAGATTTGGGTTTTTTTGCTATAAATAGCAGGTTCCAACCATAACTATAAACCATGCAAACGACTACTTGACCTGCTCCATCATTTTTTTGTGCTACCCGTGTGTGCACTTCCCTACAGCACAGGGTAAAGGACCGTGTAAGATTTCTTCAGCCCAGTAGACTTGCTGTTGTCTCAGCAGCTGTGGAACAGCGCTCTGTATTGCAAGTATCTCACTGACCTCCAGTGTAAGAAGTGGAACTAGAGACTTGACACAATCAAAAAGCTGTGGTTCTCTGAAAATGAGAATTCACTACCCTGCACTCTGCCTATCCTGCTGCAGTGCATCGTTTACTTCACGACTGATACACACATAGAACTCTGCTCTTACGAGAATTACCAGCGTCAACCCTTCTGTTCTGGCTGCAAAAAAGACACAGACATTCCCCTCTAAGGGAAAGGGGTCTAGATAACCCTGAATAAAAGTTTCACCATTATTTTATTTAATGATAAACACATTGTGTTCTTGTGCGTATGGAAGCACAGAGTTCAGAGAGGCAGAGTGTTCTCAAAAAAAAAAAAATTTGCTAAGTTTTGAAATGCCAAAAATAGTTTAAATTAAGTGTTTTGATTAAGATATTTACAAAACATCGACAGTTATAGTACTCCAGAGGGTGCTTTTTCTAGTACGGCCCTACTCAAGGTTAAATATGAAATACTTGTACAAAGGATTGCATCATTAGCTGACTTGCTTGTATTGCAGTTACTGCATATTACCCATTCATATGGAAAAGCTGCCTGCCTCAAGAATACCATTCCTCTAAGAAACACATCAGTGTAAAGAATCAGGAGCAACCCTTTTCCTCTCTGGGACTTTTCTTTTATCGTTATTAATTCCCACGTCTTTTGGAGAAGACACTATTAAATACAAGGAAAGGAAAATTCCAAATCTGATTCAGGCAGTTTACCTACTCTCATGCTGACAGGAGCTCCTTTCCTCCTGCTCCCTAAAAAGATTTTGAGAACTTCAGCATCACCTATAGACCTCCCATCACCACCAAGGGTACTCCACTTGAAGCTTGAATTCAAGCCACTATACTGAAAACAGGAAAACAACTTTAAAACCTTTTTTTTTTTTTTTTTAAAGTAATGACTCTCGTAAGTGAAAGAGCTGAAAGCGCTCTAGGAAAAACAGTAAAATAACTATCATGTGCTCCTTTTTTGTTTGTTTATCTTGGACTGTTCATGAAACCTCCACAAAGAGATGTATTTTTTTTGTATATCAAAACTAGCTGAATGCACCCTTATCAAGGTACTTGATCTCTTACGTTTTATAAAATGAAGCAGCTGTCAGTAGGCACCATGCCTGAGAGAACAGTTTTTAACAGTTTGGAAATAAAGCTAAATATCATTTAGATATAAAATCTAAACATCATTTCTGCAAATCGGTACCAAGGATACACTTCTACATGTCTGCTACTACAGGTACATCAAATATTGATTAAAAAAAAAGGGTGAAAATGTGACATGTACGAATTTTACAAAATACATGGGAAGTTTATGTCCTTCACCTACCTGGCACATCTTTTTTCCAATGCAAAAGTCTAGTCTAAGCTAGGCTCCTACCGAAGTTGATCTCCTATTTAAAAATGTAGTTCTTTTGAAGGTAGCTCAAGACAACTTTTAACAAAAACGAGGCACGTCCCTCGTTCCTACCTGACTGCCATAATGCGCACGGGCTGAGAGCGCTGCACCTTCTGCCTCGGAGACATGGGCTGCAGGGCACCAGACCCCGAGGACGGCAACTGGCTGCGGTTGAGCTGCCCGTTGTGAAGGAGCGGAGTGGTTTCCGACTGCATGCTGCAGGTGGAGTATAAACTTTCAAACGAGGAATTCATGTCATTTACCAAAGCTTCTAGGTCCACATCGTCATCTGGAAAATAAAAAAAAAAAAAAAGAAAAAAAAAATTTAAAAAGGCAGCATAACACACCTGGAAGTCCCAGACACATAAAAGTCTGGAAAGCCCAAAAACTAAGCTTCACTAAAGTTACCACATAATTTTATAGTTATATTTTTACACTGCAATTTTTTTATTGCAGAAAACATTTATTTATTTTAGAGCAGTAAAATGCAGCTACTAAAAGCCAGCAATGGATATCTATTTTGTCTGCCTTGGTAAAAAACTACTAACACAGAATGAAATATTTCTACTACAGTATTTACTATATATATATATATAATCAAAATTTGGTGGGATTTTAAATTATGCCAGTGCTCATGTGAAACACCACTTCATTTACTGAAAAACTGACAAACATTTCAAAAGTATATCACTTACAAATACCTCAGTTCAGCTTGTCAATTTATCAAGTTCAAATGGTCAAACAGTATAATAAACGCTTTTTAAAGACCCAATAATTTAAAAGAAAAAAAAAAAACAGTGTTGCAGAAATCAATAGGTAGAAGACACACTCCTCTGCTGTACACCTCAGAAAGCAAACCTCAGAATTTTTAACAAACGATACCTCTATTTCTCTGTATTCTTGTGATACGGTATTTTGAAGGGCAATGCTAGCTTTTAACTGTCACTCCAAGGGTGTTACAAAAATACCTGTATCCTTGCCCCTGCAATGTGATAGACAGACCCCTGCCTTAAAGAGCTCAAAGTAAATCAACCACGGATGTGGCGTGGGTGGTTGGAGGAACATCAGGCCCTAAAAAGTGCCCCAACCTTTCCATATACACCACCTTACCTCACAGTAAATAAGTAACTTGTGCTCATTCGTTCCTCCTTAAGGGTCATAATTACCCTGCAGGACAAGAGAACTCTGGGAGCCCTTTGCAGTAACCACTCTCTGAACTCCTCTAGCACAGTACTGTAATTACTCCCCAGCCACAAGTGACGCCACTGCCTCTCAGGAGTTCAGCGGGCTGACCAACACACACATGGGTATCTGCTCCTGGTCACTGCACAGCCACCGCCTCAACAGCCACCTCCGACACAGCGACACTCCACGCCTCCCAAAATGCGCCCTTATTTTCCAGCTCTAATTGGCCTGGTGAAATATACCACTGCTGCCCGCGTCCCTCGGATCTCACAAAACTCTGCATGACTCGGATAGAAAGTGGAGCCAAGCAACGGAGCCAGCAAACACGTACAAGCTAGATGCTGTAGCTAAATGCAGCTAAAATATGCTTTTCACCACAAAAATTTCCTGATACCCATCCTTTTGCCATGTTTACTAGGTAGATGAACCACCAGGAGCATCTAATCAGCTTTTGACCAATTACAGTTCTTTCTTTGAGATACCATAAACAATTTTGTACCAATATCATCTTTCTTGAGGATATAATCTGAAACAGCACCGCTCAATTTCTGCCCACTAACATCATGCCTCAATAACCCTAATGGGATCTGGACCTGGTATTTACACAGCAATTGTTTTGGATGCTGACAACCCCAGTTCTCGGTGTTGGACGAACAAAAGATCTGCTCAGAAATAAATAGGTGCTGGTCATGTACCTATGTCTGAGCTCTATTTAATGACTTGAAATACTGTGCTCCTTGCTGAAAGTTGGTAGGCCCTTTACTAAAGGAAAAGCCACTTAGCCTTCGCTGAGAAAGTACATGCAAAATTTCTAGGTTTGAACATGTGTTTAAAAACCACAAAAACCTCCATCAACCCAAACATGTTTCCCCCTTTCCTTTCTTTATGGTTATTTCACTCAGTCTCTGTACTAAACAGGTACTACCCCGCTACTAAGAGTCACCTTCACTAGGCTACACCATCTTCTCTGCCAGCTAGTTCATGCATTTTCAATAATCTAGACTTTGCTTTGCTTGGACAAAGCCTACAATAATTTTCTTGCTATTTTTAGGGATCTTGAGACAGAGTTGCAATTTAAATTTCATTCCATCCTCCAGATTCTTATCCTATTTGGAGAGGACATATCGAAAACACTTCTTGAGCAATCACAAGGGAACCACAGGAGTAGGAGTATAAAGAGGGAGAGGCTGAATTACAAGGCTTTTGAATTTTATCATTCATCTAAAGCACCAGAAGACCAAGCTGTAGGGTATCGGATGGCTGTCAAGTAAAAGCTTAGAGGTTGGATGAAGGAGACATGAAAGACAGACCCTAGCCACAGAGTCAGGGAGTAAATTACAGCAAGTAACAGCAATTGTTTAGCAGGGTGAAAAGCAGAAAGGGGAGAAAGTCAAGGCGTACATTCTGTGGAAGTCTGTGTGGCTTGGTCCCGGAGGGTGCTAATTTATTAACAACTTAGACAAAGCTATTAGCGTGCAAGATCATTACATTTTCAGATGATTGTAACATGGGAGGAATGATTAAGAGTCAGCTCAACCTACCCCTGAATAATCAAATAGGCACAAAGGTGTAATCTGAAGTCTAATATGCATAAAATGAGGCACTTCATGCAAAACACTAAGCAAACAAAGTACATGGTTTAAAGCATTGAATTACCATTAGCAGGCTTTTAAGCATATCAATTACAAAACTAAATTCAATTTCCAACAGGACAGGCACTGACAAGGTACATATAGAGTTTTCCTAATAACACGTTGTACTGAAGTCCAGAATCTGGTTTCACTCCTCTGTCAGCTCCTTTTCTCCACAGGAGCAGCACTGCTAATAATAGTTTTCTCAGTCTTGCTAGAAAACTTTTGCAGGAGCGCAAATCCTTAAGCTTTTTGAAGACAAAGCCTGCAATCTTGAATTTCATACAGTTTCGTCTCTATACAATAGCATTTATTACTACATACCATTATGCTTTGGGGGTATTTCAGCATGCTGCAATAGGAAACCTCAGTGCTGTGGCCTACCTCGGAAGTGCCAGCAGATGTCTCAGCCTGCCAAGTAATCCCGAATGCCACTTGTGATGGCTCTCTACGGAGCTTAACTAAATAAAACTCAAATAAGCCATCCAGGGGATTTCTAAGCAACTTGAACCATTTGCAGGTATACTATCCAGAAGGACATTTCATATTCAGTGCAATCCTACAAAGTATCTTTCTCTATCAAGCTGGGAGATCCAGCTGCTATCAAGATCATCCCACATGGAAAAATAAATAAATAAAATAAAAGGTGCTAGTCAACAGCAAAATTTACAAATCACTGGGCAGTCACAGGTAGCTGAGGAGCCTCCAGCTCTCCAGCTATCTTGCAGACATGCACATCCAGGGATACTAAAGACTATTTTCCTTCCTCTTGCATTGAATTCTGCTGTAAGATCAAGGAGTATGAAAAGTGGATATTGGAGGTCTGTTGTCTTCGTCTCTCAACTGACCAGCATAGAGGCTAGCTTATCACTTCCATGCACAAACATGCAAGCAGCCTTTTGCTGTTGGAAGTCATTTTTAAAGGAAAATATTGGCAAAACCTATTTCTGACATACTTCTGGTGGTGGACAGGTGTCATGGCTTGGGCTGGACTGGCCAATGAGAATGACAGATGCTCTCCCCCGTCTCTCTCTCTCCACTTTGACAGTAATGTTCCTTCCCAAACTAGAACCAAAGCGCACACGCTGGCAGCTGTCTGAACTTCATTTTGCTTCTTTGCCCACAACTTGTTAAACTTTGCCTTTGTTCACAAACCAGCTCCGCTGGATGTTGCAAGTAGTATTTTTGGTAAAGTAAATCATGATTTCAATTACAAGAAAAAATATACGAGTTCAATTCAAGGAAAGAAGAAAACTTTGTTATAAAACCTTTACAGAGCTAGTGAGCTAAGCTATCACATTCCACAAAAACAACAGCACTTTGAATCCCATTTGAATGTTTTCAGGCATATCATAAGAGGGATGATAACCTCTCAGTTAGTCCTAAACAGACTTTAATCTGTCCTTAACCATATCTGGCTTGTCCTTCTGCTTCCAGCCCTTCTCTGTCCTCCAGATCTTAATTTATATACTTATTTTGGTTGTTGTTGGCCTTGACATGTCAAGCTCAGCTAACAGGACTAAGCAGGATACTCTGAAGCAACGTAAAGCTGAAATGAGCCCTGCTCAGCTTCATCCCTGCCAGCCTCCCAAAGAAAGCAGGTATTTCCACGGCTGTCAAGGGGCTCATTGCACTGCAGAAATTCTGTTTACTGAAAAAAAAGCTGAACATGGAAAGAATCCCAGCTTTGGACTACAGACCAGGATGCATTTCATGTCTCTAAATGACAGCCCAACAAACACTCTTCCCTTTTACATATGGTCTGCAGTTCATAGGAAATACATATGAAGACATCACAGGACTTGAGAGCTGCGATTTAAGATATTTTTAAAAACTGTATACATAAATACATAAATAATTTCCATTTTGCTTGCTTATTTCAGAATTTAGTTATCCAGCATTATCCATAATACCAGTTCACAAAGCAGACTGATGTGAGTGCTACTAGCCTCTCAGCAGAACATTTATAAAAAGGCTGTATCACTTTTCTGTCACCATGGAAGTAAGTCTGATACTATGTGAAGCCTAACAACAAGTATATAAACAAGTGTTTGATATTACAGTAAGGCAGCTGTTGATTGATCACCTATTCCTGTTTGACAGCCTAACTCTGGCAATCGGTTCCCCAAAACGAGTTTCAGTGCAGCATGTTCAAGATCCAGCTTGACAAAGCAAAGAAGCTAAGGTATAACTAATGTAAGATTTCACTCAAGTTTAGCTCAGTAGATGGTATCAAAGCAGTTAGAAGGGCCCTCCAGCACACAGTAATTAACCCTCAAGGAGACAGGTGGAAACAGTGAAGGAAAGGAATGTGTACAGTTGCATATACCCTAACATCCTGCATTGGCGATGCAGTGAAACACTATGTAAATTATAGGTAACACAGGGAAAATACATTTACATTGAAGTAATCAGAAAGATTTGACCAGAATGTAAAAGGGAACAAAACACACCTAAAATACCTGTGGTACCC